CACACACACACACACAGTTAGACATGAAAGATACAAAAAATTAAGTCACTCTTTTCCATTTTTAAAACGAGTCTGTTTAAACTAAGAGAGGAACCATTTCAAATTTCTTTAACTGTAAATAATCTGTCTATGATGTTCTTTTATATTTGACTGTCTCACACATGTACTATAGTATGCATTTTCTCAAAATGCTTAAATCTAAATTGCTTTTGTCCTCTGTCACCCACCCACCATAAACAAGCTGCTTAATGAACAAACCAAACTAATACAAGTAACAATTTTGGATGACGGCAATATTTAACTCAAGGTGCTTGTCAGAACAAATATTAATTTGGGTATTGATTAGAGAAAGTAATGCCAACAATATGTAATTGCATTTTGGAATCTGTCAGTATTTTAAAATGGAAAAATTTAACTGAATTGCAACATGTTATTTGTTAACTAAATACAAATCCAATAAAGGTGTCTATACGCACTGCTGTACCCAGTTATAGCATACAGTAAAATAATTGTGCGCCTTCACACTCGGGTTCTACCACTATACATTTCAATGAACTGGATATTTATGATCTTTGTAAAACAATAATAAAACTCCCAATGAGGAAATAATGTGGTGAAACAAACACACACACAAGCCGTTTCAAACTGGGTCATACAAAATCATCTCTCCTAGGTTATGGTCTACAAAGGCCTTTTCCATACAGTCTTGGATTACACACTTTAACAAACTAGGTCTTGAGCTAGTCTCAAGAACAAGGCCCAACCGGTTTGTTAAAATAAGCACAAATCTTTCAGAAAGACTGTGTGGCCCTTTTTCTTACACACATTTGAAGATTACGTCTTTGCTGTAGTGTATGAACATTAGCACCAATACATAAAATACTTTATAGATCTTACTGTCAAGATCACAAATGTACCCCAAAGTGTATCTCAGAACAAGTCAACAAAATAAACCTTTTCACTTGTAAAGGGGAATAAGCACATTTACATTGTTTTTATCTTTTTTTCTTATTTTTTTTTATTTGACATTTGATGCCAGAGAAAGTTTAAAAACTTAAATCCTTGTGCCCAATTAAGGACAAGTTTTTCAAAGGTATCTGTTGGTCATTGTTGAATGGGGCGATATCATTTCTATTTCATTACCACATTCAAATTCCCCCCTTAAAATATTTATCAATAATGCTTTAAACCAAATTTCCCACAGAAGTGGTACAGAAAAAATGCACACATTTTCAACTAAGAAAACCAAAGCATTGAGGGTGCTCCAAAAAAGCAACTTTTCCCAAATTTCACTTGTAAATTCACACTTCTTAACAATTTACACTCTGCTGATGTAGCATACATGTAGTATTTCTCATGCTAACATCTGCAACAAAACTGAATGAACTGAGGGAAAATACCCATCCAGGCTAGATTAAAGCTAGCAGATGGCAGGCTAGACATCCATTAAGGTCAAGAAGCAGACGAAAATGAATGGATAAGATGGTATTAGAGCAAAAATTATTTATGTTGGATTGGATTTTGCATTATGAACGCCATACTCCTACCACCTCTCATTCAACAGCCACAAAAAATTATATAGGCAAGCGACTTATCAAACTTTATAGGAAAAGTAATTTGGGCCTTATTCATGGGGGTGGGGGGTGTAGTAAATAAAAGTAACGCATGTCACAAATAAACCCCATGTATTTTTTAACAAAAATACATCAACATCGTAAGGTTGTAGAGTTATGGTGTGCCAAAATACTATATTGCTTTTGTATATCCCTCTTCATTTGAGATCTTACTATGCCATATGACATCAGCACACAATGAAACAGCCACATATTTCTGAAACAAGTAGAAGGAAAAGTACATGAAGTTAATCAACCTTCAAGCAATCGACTGCCATTACTGGAAACACTCAATTCTTTTCATGTAAAACAAAAAAAATCAAGCCATATTATGGATAATCAGTAGTCACAATTTTGTTGGGTAAAGAAGGGGAAGAAATTTCACTGAAATGCACAAAACAAACTAAACTTAAAGAAACAATACATAAAATTATGTTGCAATTGATCATATATATATATGATCAACTGTAAGGTATAATAGTTTTTAAAGACTTAGAAACAACTCAAATGAAATTGTATAGTTGGGTCAAAAGATTCAGTGACCTATTTTCCCCCCAAAAATTTTAATTCCCTTGTAGCCTTTATCTGCAGCATTTATATTTTTATATTTTACATGTTTTTTTTCTTCAGATATCTTACTATACTTGTACGAAGGAAAATGTAAACTGTCCTTTGACACCACAACTCTCTCCAAAAATAACTTTTATGAAAGGCAACTTCGTAAATCAAGCCATCTGACAAATGTATTACATTATTATTATTATTTTTTATTTAACCTAAAGGGGACAAAATAACCTAGCAAATTGTAAACATTTATCACAATGGCTGAATTAAATGGGAAATTGAAGCAAAGAAAGCAACTTCCAATTTCAAGGACAAGGATATATTTCTTCATTTAGACTTCTGTTTTAAACGGCGTGTTTATTTTTTTGCTTATTATATTACTACACCTTCAACATATTACCCTGCTTTATTTCTTTAAGATGTTTTCGAAGCAGCACTGAACTAAAGTGGAACATCAACAAATAATTGATGTAACAGAACAAAAGTGGGGGGTGGGGGTGGCAAAAGCACTTTTTCGTTCAACACACCAAACCTCACACAACTCTATCCTCTACAATTCATATAAAATGAAAAAATACGACAAAATGCTAAATTATCTGATTAGGGAAGGGGGTGTCGCATTCGTAGTGCTTTCAACCTGACTTCTGAGTATTCATAGTTCGGTCACAGAAACTTAGACTATTAGAAGGACTGAGACTAGGTTCACAAGCACATGCACAATCAGTAGGACCACAGTTATAGTGCATCCTAGATCAAACATAAAAGTGAAGCTAAAATCTATAAGGGGTAAATTAAAGAACAATCTTAATACTTAACTATGCCTTTTTTATTCTTTTCAAAATTGATCAACCTTGGAATTAACAGACAAGTCTATAATAAATGCTGTTGACCAGAATCATCTAACTGTATGTTCAACCTATTGCCATGTTTTCCTCTCGTTATGTTTTCATCTTGATGATACGCCGTTTTAGATGAAATGGCTGAGGAATAACAGGGCTTAGAACAGCGTGGTTAAGAAAGAGCCCACTGCGGGCCCTGGGCTCACTGTTCTTGTAAGGGTCCTCCTATCCCTCCTCTGCGTTTTGTTTGAAAGTGATAGGAGGAAATCAGCATTGGTATACCTCCACGCTCAGCAGAAGAATCATACATTACTGCTTCCTATAAGCAAAGGAGGGTACAACATTTAGTGTTGAACAAACTTACACACAAACTCTCTTTTTCTATTCAATGTAGTGTCTATAATTTGACAGTAAGATTCATCATGACTATTCACTATTGATAGATCAATGGGTTTATCAAAGCAGTGTACAACTTACTTCCCCAGTATCTAATACTGTTAAATAGTGTACTCTTCTTACCTCCGCACTGAGAACCTGGAAATAAAGGAGAACATAGAGTACTTTGCCACCAGCACTCTTCTTGCTGCATATTAGTTAAGCACTGTTCTACAAAATTCAACAGAGGTAACTGTTTAAGAGACAAAGTCAATCAGTGGGAGCAAATTAATGCATCAGGGAATGCACCGACTGCTATACTGTTTTGTTTTTTTTTACCATTGAAAAGGTAAAAGGTATACCATTAAAGAACAAGTACGGTCAATGCATATATGAATTCAGTGTATTCCAAGAGCAGGTGATAGCAATGTCAATATCAACTGATAAAAGCATGCTAATATATTGTACAATTTTCTATATGCGTGTCTCTGAAGGTTAAGATAAAAGACTGGCTCTACAGTCACTTACCTCTGGCATATCTTGAGCAACATCAAGGGACTTCCCACTTTTTGGAATCTGATCAGTTGCAGCGCATTTGCATGACTCTGCCTCTCTGCTAGATTCCTCTTGTTGAACAGAGGACTGAACATGAGAACATGGCACCGAAACCGCTGCCGTCTCACAATGTACACAAATCTCTTGTTCAGTAATCGGCAGAAGGGTGCTCCCACCCTCCTGCGAATCAAGTGACGTCTGGGCACTCTTCTCCATGCCAGACTTCTTTACTCTGGGTAGGAACTTCCCAGACTCCAACTCAGATTTTCCATAGTAAGGGCCCTCGCACTCTGCGTCCTCCTCGAGAGGCTTGAGGTCAGCCTGTGGGTCATCAAAGAGGTCTGCTTGACCAACTGGAAGACTCGCTTCCTCTTTCTCAGACTCTACATCTGACTCACTGCACCCACCTGGAGAAAGTTCAGAGGCTGATATTGGCCGGAAATGAGTCCTTGGGGAAATTCGAATGGCCCGATACTGAGTCCGGTTGATGCCATATAACCAAGGGCAAAAGGGCTCATTGTCGGAGCATAATATGGATTTTGGCTTGAATCCCGGGCTGAACGAGGCCATATCCTCTGGCTCAAAGGAGCACTCCACATGCAGGACCTGGGAAAAAGGGTTGTTCAAATCAAAGGATGAAAACGGGTAATCCAGTCCTGACTCTTCTCCACGGAAGCCTCCACACGATCCAAGTAAATCTTCATGGAAGACAACAGAAAATCCCTTATTCAAACCATCCCCCGGTCCCTTAGTAGCCTGCTCATTTTGACCAAGGGACACAAGAGGTCTCCACAATGGCTTGTGGCCAGGAGCAAAGCAACTGCTTGAGTTCATGAACACATCCGCTCCTGCAATGGTTACCATGTCAGAAGATGTGGCTGCTGCACACTGC